TCAGAGATGGATGTCCTATAAGTCCGGGCTTTACATTATCTAAAGTTTATTACTTAAAGCCTCTGTTGGCTAATAATAAAGACAAACGAGGCCTCGCACTGGACGGTCAGCTCAAGCACGAGGACACTAACTTAGCCTCTTCTACAATGTATGCCAAATTTACGACCAATGAATCGATAAGTTTCTTACGTGTATTGCCTTATAATCAGTGTAACAGATCCGACGCAAAAGGAGAACTTAGGGATAATAGTTCAGTATAAGGTTAAAGTTAAACTTTGTTTGGGACCGTTGGGCGGGGATGTGGTCGCAGAACTTCCTTTCGTTTTAATGCATCCAAAACCAGATGACAATAATTTAAGCACTCCTTCGAAACCAATGGACTCTACGAACGCCGACGGAGAGGTGAGCGCTCTCGACGGCCAGAATCAAGCGGTCACCGAAGCCAACCTCATCCAACTCGACACGTGAGTCCATTATTATTCATTTTAGTTGTCATTTTTCTTTGAATTGCGAGTTATATTGACAATAAAATATCTTTCTATGTCCTAAATATTGAACGCATACCAAATTGAGTGCAATTTATATTAATTTAATCATTTATGCTGTCATTTTAAATTGAATGCTTCGCTCATACATCGCAATCCCCAGTGTTTTGTTTCAAATCCAATGCTTTTCTTTTCTTTTAGTTTTACATTTTATATTAAATTCATTTCATTTGATATGAAAGTGGAAATATATGATCAAATAGGGAATGAGTTCTGCACTGTTAAGGCATGAGCTGTAGAAACACTATTCTTCAATATAAAATTTAATACTAAATTCCTTGTGTGTAGACATTAGAGAATCTCATATATATTGCATGTATTACATAATAAACCTCATTATATAATATAATTGTATTTATAATTATAATATAATTAGATATGAGTATAAAATAGTAAATTAATTTTCACTAATTTTTGGTCAATTTGTTTCTGTGGATGATTGCAGTGAAGACACGGATGATATCATATTTGAAGATTTTGCGCGTTTGAGACTCCGAGGAGAGACTGAGGCCTAAAATGCATCAAAAAACTCATCGCATTCTCTATGCTTTTACAGATGGAAGACTCGTTTTTCACTGAAATTTGCCGTACAATTTGAATCCCACGTCAAATGTATTTATTTTCTTAAATCCCTTTTGGTATTCGTAACCCTCTTAACTCATCGCATTCTCTATGCTTTTACAGATGGAAGACTCGTTTTTCACTGAAATTTGCCGTACAATTTGAATCCCACGTCAAATGTATTTATTTTCTTAAATCCCTTTTGGTATTCGTAACCCTCTATAATGTTCGTAACATTATGTCAAAACATTTTTCTGTATTAACGCTATTTATTGACGTAAGAATCGATTTGAGCGCTACTGAGGGCTGGGATTAGAAATTATTTGACGAGAGAATTGACTTTTAAATTTGAAATTAAATTATATTTTGCATTCCAATCATGTTATTAAATTTATAATTCCCTGCTTTTAGTTGATTCTTATTTACTGCCCTTTTATTTGTTTATAAATTTAAATTCATTAAAACAGATGCTAAAAACATATTTTACAATTGCTTTTTGTGCCAAATTGTTAAGAATTTGAAGCACTGGTACTCATAATTCTGTTTTACAGAAAGTATTTCTTATATTTTTTAATTTCAATAATGATTGGACTTTATTTTAATGGCTTTTCTTAAGAATTCTTTATACCGTATATTATTATTATTTAATTCAACAAATTATTTATAAACTTATTTTGGTTTATAATTGAAGTCAATTTAAAAGTGATTTTATTATGTATTTGACAAAAATATTCAATCGGTTTATGTATTAATATTTTGTAATTATTTTAAATATTTATTTATGTAATGAATTTACATTCATTTGTATTTATTATTATTATTTAAAGCACTATTCGGTCTCGACTTTGATTGCATTTTTATTTGCTTTTGTCATTTGGACACAAGAACTGATCAAACATTACCGATGAGATTGTTGTCTATTTAGAAAGATTTGTACGTTTTGTAAAATAGATGTATTTGTAATGAAATACACATTTATTTGTTAACACTTTTCATTCATTCAAATTATGTATAGATATTCAACAAATGTGTTAATATTATTGTTATCACTTGTAATCAATTCATTTCTGTATTAATCCATCGATCAATAAAATTATAATTTAATATATCATTCAATTTATTTGTT